GAGCAACAACAAAATGAGTTACGCAGGCTTTTCATTTAAAAATTATGTAAGCTTTAAAAGCAAAAAAAATAAATAAATAAAAATAAAAAAATAAAATAAAAATTATGTAAGCTAGAAGACACTAGGATGACATCTATAAAGTACCGAAAGGAGGAGAGTCAACACAGAATTCTATACCCAGTGAAAACATCTTTTCAAAATGATAAAGGGAAAAAAAAATGATGAAGGGACGCCTGGGGGGCTAAGTGGTTGAGTGTCTGCCTTCAGCTCGGGTTGTGATCCCAGGATCCTGGGATCGAATCTCACATCACACTCCCCTTGAGGAGCCTGCTTCTCTCTCTCTCTCTCTCTCTCAATCTCTCTCTCTGTGTGTGTCTCATGAACAAAATCTTAAAAAACAAAAACAACAACAACAACAACAAAAAAACACGATGGTGCAATAAAGAGGAGTCTGAAGCTTTCCTCTCCGCTGCTGTCTTGGGAGGCATCTACATTTGCCCAGGGTTTCAAGTGCCTTCTGAGAAAATCAGCACCTCAGTATTCCAGCTTTCACTTAGACTTAAAAAACAAAACAAAACAAAACAAAACTCTATCTTGAAATAATCCCAAACTTCAGAGAAAGGTTGCAAGAAGGGCTCACCTCCAGTATGCCCTTCGCTTAGGTTGTCCAATTGCTATTGTACCGCAGGTATTGGCCTTGTAACTCTTCATGTGTGTATCCATGTATATTTTTTTCTGATACCTCACTACCCTCTTAGAACTTCAGTATGTATTTCCTAAAATACAAGAACGCTGTCTTACATGACTAGAGGAAACTATCAAATTCAGGAAATTCACTTTGAAATGGTACTACCCATCTAGACCACAGTCACCATTCAAATGTCACCGGTTGTCCCAAGTAGGTCTTCTGTCGGTCCAGGATCACTCACCACATTTACTTGTAATATCTCTTCCATCTTGTCTGTCTTTTCTTGTCTTTCGTAACACGGACGGTTTTGAAGAGTGCTGCTGGTTATTTTTTAGAATAACGTCCATTTGGATTGCCATGTCCTAAGTAGGTTCAGTTTATGCGTACACTTTTAGCAGGAATATCACAGAAGTGATGCCGTATTCCACCAGTGCATTATATCTGGGGGCACACAATCTTTTTTTAAAAATATTTTTATTTATTTATTCATGAGAGACACAGAGTGAGAGAGAGAGAGAGACAGAGACACAGGCAGAGGGAGAAACAGGCTGCATGCAGGGAGCCCGATGTGGGACTGGATCCTGGGACTCCACTCCAGGATCGCGCCCTGAGCCAAAGGCAGGCATCAAACCACTGAGCTACCCAGGGATCCCACACAATCTTGACTGTCCTGTTGCTGGTGGTGTTAAACACTTGTCACTTGAAGACATGTCTGCCGTGTTTCACCACCGTCAAGTTAAATATTTTATACTTACTAGTTAATAAATTATATTAGTGGCCATTTTACTGTAGAGCTTTTTTCCTGCTCCCATCTATTTAAAATTATTTGTTTCAGGGACGCCTGGGTGGCTCAGTGGTTGAGCCTCTGCCTTTGGCTCAGGGTGTGATCCCAGGGTCCCAGGATCAAGTCCTGCATCAGGCTCCCTGCATGGAGCCTGCTTCTCCCTCTTTTATATCTCTGCCTCTCTCTCTCTCTGTCTATCATGAATCAATAAATAAAATCTTAAAAAAGAACAACCCAAAGAACTGGTAAAAAAAAATTGTTTCAATCTGGACTAACAGATTCTTATTTTTAGTTGCTGAGTTAAAATCCATTCCTATCCTTACTTATTTTGATAAATTGTCCCAGATAAAGCATGTGGGAGTCTCTTTAATCTGGTTTCTACATCCTTGGGAACACGTCTCTGTTATTCCTTGAGCCCTTTCTTACTTTCTAGAACACTGAGATGCTCCAGGCTTATTATTTCCTTACCCCAGCCCTCAGATCAGCCATTTCTCCATGGAGCCCTGATACCTATTCATGGAGAATGGTAATCAGAAATCAAGGTGCCCTCTCATTCCTGGGTTGTCATTGCTTCTAGGCTTTTCTAGGGGGTAGGGCTCATAGATATATGTACGTATGTGTATCACACACATGTACGTACCTGTACACAACTATAGCTATTTCAACATTCATCTAAATATATTACAGGCCAGGTGTCCATGCAGATAGCTCCAACTCCAAACCAACACCACAGGATTTATTGGAGTCTTCCTGTTGCATCTTTGTGAATCTTCCCTCTGGTGATGGGAAGCCTGGCTCCCATTATCTTCAGTATTTTACTTATTTGTTCAATCCCCCATATGTAACTCATCTTCCACCCTGGCGGCCAGGGAGGACTCAGTCTCGTGATCACCACGTGGGCCTCCATGTGGACGAAAGGGAGTGCTTCTCGAGTGTTGACCTGGTGGTTCGACAGCATCATACCAGCCCTTTCCTTTGATGCCCCTCGACGAATTCTCTACCCTTTCCCCAGTACTTATAGTTGTTTTGAACAGGAGCATTGTCAAGAATAAAATTGCCTTGTAACGTGCTCATAAATTGAGCCAAATATTATTTTTATCCTCTCAATGAGGAGAAAAGGTCGGGAAGCGTGACTCTGGGTGTTGTCCGTTCTTTTACAGTTTTGTCTGGATCAGGTTTAGCTGTGGCTTCCTATAATCTTGCCAACTCTAGACGAAGTTACATACTGAACCGCTTTCTTTGTATCTGAAATTCAATCTTTTTTTTTTTTATGATAGTCAGAGAGAGAGAGAGAGAGAGAGAGAGAGAGAGGCAGAGACACAGGCAGAGGGAGAAGCAGGCTCCATGCACCGGGAGCCCGACGTGGGACTCGATCCCGAGTCTCCAGGATCACACCCTGGGCTGAAGGCGGCGCTAAACCGCTGCGCCACCCAGGGATCCCTGTATCTGGAATTCAAATGCCGGAGGAGGACAAGGCACCACACAGCTCTTCCCTCACGAGCCTAGATCAGCGTTTCCCAGACCCTGGCGTGTGCACAAATCACCCAGAGATCTCCTTAAAATGCCGAGCCCGTGTCACCTGGTGTGGGGTGGAGCCTGAGAGTCTGGGTTTCCACCAAGTTTCCAGGTGGCAGGAGACTCTAGAATGCTCATCACCCGGGACCCCGTGGTCAGTGGGGTGGTTAAATTGCACGACCAGCAAAACTTACAAGCACTTTTAACTTTTTATTTTTTTCATTTGCAAACCTACACACAGAGAGAATGGAGTGACTCCTTAAGTATCCCTGGCACCTGCCAAACTTCCCCTGTCCCTGTCCTGTTTGTTCTTAGGGTATTTTATTTTATTTATTTATTTTTAAAGATTTTATTTATTTATTCATGAGACACACACACAGAGAGAGAGAGAGGCAGAGACACAGGCAGAGGGAGAAGCAGGCTCCATGCAGGGAGCCCGACGTGGGACTCGATCCCGGGTCTCCAGGGTCATGCCCTGGGCTGCAGGCGGCGCTAAACCGCTGAGCCACCGGGGCTGCCCTGCTCTTACGGTATTTTAAAGCAAATCCAGCTATTCTCCCATTTCAGCGTGCATGTCTAACAGATAAGGATTTCAAAAGCCCCAAACAAACCACAGTGTCATTATCGCCCAAAATTCACAATACATGCAACACAAAAACCTAATTCCTGGACACCATCCAATCCTCCGTCCTTATCGATGTTCTCGGGCGCAGGCACTGGACGGGTCCCCCGAGCGCCCCGAGGCTCCCTCGCTATGCCCAGCACCTTCCGTGGTCATTCTACTCGGGCTTTCATCACTGGCTGAGAACACAGGCATTTTCCTCCCCAAACTATATTTTACGGCCCGCCAGTTTCATTCTCCGGAGAGCTCTGTTAATAAACATCAGCCAAAGCTTTAGGATCGTGCCCTTTGACCCCCTTCCTGGGTCCCTGCCCAGTCCTCTGGCCCCGAGGCTGGGACGGTAAACAGCTCGGGCAGGAGGCCTGGAAAGTTGGCCCTGCCGCCGGCCGCGCAGGTGACCTTGATGTAGACAAGTGGAACCGGTGACTTCAAGAGCAGGCTTCCCAAACTCTCCCGGCCTTTTTTTTTTTTTTAATGATTTTATTTATTTATTCATGAGAAACACAGAAAGAGGCAGAGACCAAGCAGAGGGAGAAGCAGGCTCCATGCAGGGAGCCCGACGTGGGACTCGATCCCGGGACCCCAGGATCACACCCTGGGCTGAAGGCGGCGCTAAACCCCTGGGCCCCCCAAGGATCCCAACTCTCCCGACCTTAAACTCCTCTAACTTTCCCAGGACACGTTCCCGTGGCCAGGACCCCGCTCTGCGGGGCGTGAGCGTGCCGGGCTACGGGCAGCGAGCGGAGCCTCTCCCGTCCCTGGTTTAGGTGGAGGGGGCGTCGGTGTGGCAGGCCCAAGCTGGTCCCTGCAGCTGTCAGCCCCGCCCCGTCTGGCGCGGGGGCCCCTCTCCTGCAGCCTCCCCCCAGGCTCGGGAGCACCCAGCGCGATCTCCCCCCGCGTTTTCCTACCCAGGCCCAAGCCTCCGGTGGACCCGGCACCTCGAGACAATGCACACGGGGCCAACCGCTTCGTGCCCCGACGGCCAGGGCTGCCCAGCCCCCCACCTGGGTCAGGAAGGCATCCCGGAGCACAAGCAGACGTCAAGCCTCTGGGCCCCACATCCCACCCGGCTCAGTGGGGTCCCCACAGGAGCCTCCTGACACCCTCCCTTTCAGGCTCCCAATGTGGCCGTGTCGGTCGGGGCTCTTTTGGCTCTAGGTGACACAAGTCACGCTCGAGATCCTTTCAGCTGGATAGCCTGGGTGGCTCAGCGGTATAGCACCTGCCTTCAGCCCAGGGTGTGATCCTGGGGTCCTGGGATCGAGTCCCACGTCGGGCTCCCTGCATGGGGCCTGCTTTTCCCTCTGCCTGTGTCTCTACCTCTCTCTCTCTCTCTCTCTCTGTGTGTCTCTCATGAATAAATAAATAACATCTTTTAAAAAAAATCGTTTCAGCAAAAAGGTGGATAATGGGGGGGGCTCTTACAGGGAAGCCTGGTCTCAGGGAGACAGACCTTGCCCTCATCTTTCCCCGGCTCGCCCTTCCCCGGAGCTGCCCCTGTCCCTCCGCGACCCCCAGGGGGGCAAGAACTGTGGCCGCACAGCCCTGAGCTGCAGGCCTCCGGGGTGCCCCCCTCGATGCCGGGCCCCCGCGGCCGCTTCCGTCGGGATGTCCGGGGCAGCTCCTGGCCACCGGCTCCGGGTGACTCGAGAGCTCGTCCAGCGGCGAGGCCCGCTGCGCCCCGGCTCCGGCCCCGGGGACAGCCTCCTGCGGCTCTCACACTCGGGACTCGACGGGCGGGCCTGGGGGACCCGTGGGGGTCGGTGCCCACCCTTGTGGCCAGAGGCTGGCCAGGCCGCGGGGAACAGCCACCCCCGAGGCGCCCCAGCTGCCAGGCCGGGGCCCTGCGCCCACAGTCCCACGGCTGCCCCTCCCAACCCCGGGCCCCCGAGGGAGTCTGTGTGTCATCTCCTCTGACTTCACCTCCCTTGGGGCGGGGGGGGTGGGAGGCCGGGCTGCCTCCTCGGGGTCCAGTGACTTGGTGAGAGGCAGGTGTTGGAGGCAGCCAGGTGACAGTCGGATGGGAGACCAGAGGGTACTCAGGGGCCTGGGAGGATGCTTGGGAGGGCGAGGCCGGAGGCGAGGGGCGGAGCTGACCGTCGTCTCTCTGAGGACGTCTCCCCCTTCTCTAAGGTGCTACCTGAACTCCAAGACCAAAAGCCCCTCCAGCTCGGACCGCACACTTTGGCATGTGGACAGGGCCCTGAGGCCACCCCCCTACTCTGGATCCAGGACAGGGATGTCATGGGACCTCGGCAGCTGGAGAGCAGGAAGGGGAAGAAGGGGAGCACCAGGGGGCTTGCAGCCTTGCTGGGGACAGAAGGCCCTCGGGCCCTCTCCTGGTCCCTTCTCACGCAGTGAGCTCCCAGCGTCCCTGCGCCCCAGCTCTGGGGTAAGAGCCAGGCTAGGGACGCTCCTGGCCCCTGCCTGTGCCGGGTAAGTAAGTCACCCCGGAGGCCTGTCTCCCCACCTTTACCCCCAAAGAGCCCAGGGATCAGCTCCGACCTCCCCGAGCCAGGACCCACTGTAGCCATGCCAGGGACAGATCAAGTGACACCACACTTGGGGCTGGATGTTCGCTTCTCTTTCCAAAAAATACCAAACACGCAGGCTAGGTGTGGCGGGGACAGAGTCAGGGTGGGGGCCTGGACATTACACACCCAGGGGGCCCTTGGCGGAGGCGGACAATTTAACAACTGGTCTGAAAGTCAAAAGAGAGGAGAGCTGGTTAGTGGGGTGAGCAGCCCGTGGGGCGGGGGCTGTGGGGGGCAGGCCCAGGTGCAGGGCCTGGCCAGAGCCGTCAGACCCGGGCCCTCGCAGCAGCCCTACCGGGGCCCATTCCTGGGGGCGGGCGGGACACGTTCTGGCACAGCCGTGGGCGTGGGCGTCCAGGTGGTGCGGGGCGCGGGGGCAGGCCTGAGGCCTGGATTCGGGACCAGTGGGGCCAAGCTCCTGGTCTCCCTGCACCTGTTTGCTCATGCGTAAGTGGGGACATTCACCACCCTGGCACTGCCCCCCTCGTGGGGTTGCCGCGAGGAGCCTGCCGGCCTGGGGAGGGCAACGGCTCTGGCCACCCGGGGCGTGGGGCACCAGGGTCCGTCTTCGTGGCTGTGTCCCCAGGGCCCCACGCACAGTAGCCACTCGTGCAGCCCAGCAGTGGGTGACTAAGCAGCCTCGTGGACGCGCCGGTGCCTGGACAGGAAACGTGCCCGGGCCGGACACGCGTGTGCACCACGGGCCGGGGCCCGCCTCCGGCCTCCCTCGGAGCGTCTGGGTGCGAGGCTCCGGGCGCAGGTGGGTGCCCACGTGGGGACAAGCCGCTCGGGGCCCTAACGGAGCTCGCGGGGCCGCCGTGCCCTCCTGGCCGTGCCCTCCCGGCCCTGCCCGGGGTGCCACGGGGCCGCGGCGGGGGCTCAGACGTACTCTCGGGCAGCGGCCGATGGGCCCGGCCGGTAAGGCTGCGGGCTGCTGGCGGCGCGCTCAGGCTCGGGGCACGTGCAGCAGAGGAAGGAGCCCCCCAGCATGGCCAGGCCGGCCGACGCCCAGCCCACGAACAGGGCCGAGCCAAACTCGTACCTGCGGGTAGGGAGGTCGCCGTCAGGGGTGGCTGCAGGCCTGCCCTCCCCTGCCCCCCCTTCCCCCTGCAGGCCTGCCCTCCGCCTGAGTGCACCCCCCACCCCCCCCCGCAGGCCTGCCCTCCCCCTGGGCGCCCCCCCCTCGGGTTGGGTGACGGGGGCCTCCCGGGAAGTCCCCTCTGGCTTCCACCCAGCATCTGGCCACCAGGGGGACCCAGGCCCAGGGTGGGCCCGCCCAGCGCAGATGCGGGGTGGGGGGGCCCTTCCTCATCCGGCCAGAGGAGGGGCCAGGTCCCACGGGGGAGGGGTGGGGACTGCGATCCCTGCCAGCTTTCTCTGTCGCCCTGGCGCTCCCGACTCCCCACCTCGGCCACCCCACTGGCCACCGCCAGCCTGCACCCCTCCCTGCCCCGCCTCTGCAGCACCCCTGGGGCTCCCCATCTCCCAGCCTTTGCTGGGCGTCCCCCCTTCTGCACCGCCTACTCCTTGGCCTTCAGGGCCCACCAGCTCCCAGGGCCTGTCCCTGAGCACCCCACCCCCAGCCCGTGCCTTCTGCGGACTCTTCCTGGGTGGCCGCTCAGCTCCCTGCTTGCCTGGCTCCCTAGGGAGCGCCTGGAACGCGGCGAGCACCCGACTGGTCCCTGTCCCTGGGGGGCCCAGCACGGGGCCTGCACACCAGGTGCCTCCGGGAGTGTCCAAGGGACCAGGCGCCTGTCCCTGAGCTGAGCCGCCTCCTGCTTGGAGATCTTCTTCTACAGCTGCCGCCCCCGGGAATGAGCGCCAGGCCTGAGGCCTGAGGCCTGTCTCTTCCCTCGCCACACCTCCACCTTCTCCAGGAAGCCCTCCTGACTGCGATGGCCCTGTGGTCTTGGTCTTTCCTCACTGTCGCTCCACCCCAGGGCCCAAGGTCAGCTGGGATGGCTGGGGCTGAGACTGTCCCCTTGTCTGCTCTGGCACAGCTGAAAGGAGGAGGGCAGCCAGGTGGGCCCAGGCTCTTCACCAAGCCCCTAGTGGGCCCTCACACCCTCGGCCTTACTAGTCCTGGCCGTTCCAGCAGCTAAATATCTCTGACCCTGCTCTGCACTGCCGGCCTCTGGTTCCAGACCTTTGCACCCCACTGCCTCGTCCCCTCCCCACCGTGCTGCACACCATGGCCAGGACCGCTGGCTGCCTTCCGCCCCAGAATGGGGCACCAAGTCTTCCTATGCTGTAAGGCCCCCACACCTGCCCTTACCATTGGTCTCCATCTCCAGCCCAAAGTACCTGCTGCCTTGGGCAGGAGGCCCAGGGAGGGGTTTACTGAGCTCCCCCGGGGCCCTGGCATCGTACCGAGTCCTCCTTGCAACATCTCCCTGAGCCCTCACAACCTGGGTCCTGGGGTCCCACCTCCGTTTGACAGGAACGTGCCTCTCACACAGCACACACAGAGCTGGGATCAAACCCAGATCCAGGTTGCGGTGTCCTCCACGGGACTCTCGCCCCTTCGGAGGGCCCAGCCACACCCCGCCTGGCCCCCCACTCCCAGGAGCTTCTCAGTGACGGCACCTGCAGCTCACCCCCTGTTCCACCCTCCAAGCTGGGCAAAGGCAGGGGAGCGGGAGGCCCAGCGTGCTCCCTGGTCCAAGCCGGGCGCCGGCACTCACCTTGCGTTGACAGGCGTGCTGGGGTTGAAGAACTCCTGCGTCACCAGGGTGGCATACCACGAGACGGCTGTCAGAGTGCAGAGCCCTAAGGACAAAGGAGGGCGAGTCTGCTCCGGCCCCCAGCTGGCCGCCCCGTGGGTTTGGCTACCTGCCACCTGCTGTGGCCAAGACGGTGGAGAGGGAGCCGGGGACACTCACCTGCCAGCAGGAAGAGGACACCCCCAGAGATGGCGATGCGGCCCTTGGCGGTGGGGTTGCTGTCTCCAACCCGAGTGCACTTCATGCCGACCACACTGAGGACCATGGCCACAAAGCCCAGGAGCACAGCCACCACCATCAGGGCTCGCGCTGACTGGATGTGACCTGGGCAGGGCGGGAGGGACTGAGCGGGCGGAGCGCATAGGAGCCCAGGATGAAGGGGCTGGGGGGCAGGAGCCAGCAGCTCCCCCTGGGCAGCCACCTGCAGCAGGTGTGAGGGGACAGTGAGGACAGGGTGGGGGGCTGCGCTTGGCCTCTAACCCCGCCCTTCACTCTCCCTGCAGCTTCCTCCGGATGCGGTGTGACGGTGCGGGGTAGTGACCTCTCTGGTCAGTGCTGTCTGTCGGTGGGACTCTCTTTTGGGGCCGGCCCACCCCTCGCCCACCCCTCCCAAGCAGCGGGGTCAGTTCCTCCCGGGGCCTTTCAGATTCAGCAGGAGGGAGAGAGGGTGCCCGTGGCCCAGCTCAGCCCAAGGGGGCTCTCGGGCAGGGACACGTTCATCAGCCATTCTGGCTCCTGGTCACCTTCCCCTCTGCCCTCTGAGTCACCCATGGCAGCCGTACACCTGTGCTCAGGTCAGTCCTGGGCCGCGGGCAGCTCAGGGGATCTGGGTGCCTGCAGGAGACCCAGACGACCCGCCTGCATGGGCGTCGTAGGGGAGGCTGGTGTGATAGCTGCTGGGCTCAGGCCTGCGCGGCCCTGGGCAGGGACACAGCTGCATGGTGCCGGCTTACAAGCCAACTTGTCACGTTCAAGTCCACACCCCGGGGGAAGGAGAGGGACCTACATGCCCAAGCACCTGTGTGCACAGGCACGAGTGTGTGTGCACCCAAACGGAGGCCCGCTTGCCTAGGTGGCAGGCCCGGAGGTGTGTGTGCACGGCGTGTCTGCACGCGGCGCTTCGGGAGGAGCGAGGAGAGCCTCCTGAGCGCCAGGCACCCCTCGACCCGGTCTAACCCTGCCACAGCCCTGTGAAGCCCTAGTGCTCCCCCCTATGGCTGGGGGCCGGGGACGTTAGAACCGGAGAGGGTTGGACTCCTTTAAGGTTCTCGTGGCAGAGCTGGGATCTGGACCCGTGGCTGCCAGAACCCCAAGCGCCCCCTCCACGGGTGGGACCACCCGTCTGGCCTTGGATGTTCAAAATGCATGAGGTGGGGGGGGCTGGAGGGTGGAGCCCAGCGCAGGTGGCAGGCTGCGGGCAAGCTGGCCTGCCCCCCTCCCAGCCCCCCCTCCCAGCACAGCCCGAGGGAGGCCTACCTTCCAGGGCGAGCAGGGAGTCATAGAGCTTGCACTGCACCTGCCCGGTGCTCTGGGAGGCGCAGGACATCCAGAGCCCCTCGTAGAGCCCCACGGCCGTGATGATGGCATCGCCTGCGTAGGAGGACTGCTTCCACTGCGGGAGGGCTGTGCTGGCGATGATGCCCACCCAGCCGCCCAGGGCCAGGAAGTAGCCCAGGAGCTGGAGGCCCGAGTTGGCCATGGCCCAGAGGAGGGGGCTGGAGGTCCCAGGGCTCAGGGCTGGGCCAGGGTCCCTGGGGGCGCTGGGGTCATGGCCAGGTGAGGGGAGCTGCTGGGTGGGCTGGAGGCTGAGAAGGAGCAGCTCAGCGGCGGCGGCTCTGGGCGCTAGAATGCAGGGGGAGGCCAGGGGCTGGAAAGGCCAGGGGCCGCCCACAGCAGCCGCCTAAGCCGGGGCAGGGTCCCCAGCAAAGCTCCTGCCAGCCCCCTGGGGGCGGGGGGCGGGGCCGTGGCCCAGGTTGGTGCCCTTGCCCCGCCTCCCGGGGATAGAGAGGGGAGGGCCTGGGAGGAGTGACCCTGCTTGCCCTCAGGGCCTTCCTGCCAGGGGAACCCCCTTTAGGAACCTTGCGGGTGCATGGTTCTCATTCCTGCCCGAGCGCCCGCCCTGAGATGATGGACTTTGCTACTGCATGGCTGACCTGACCCTTGGGGTTTCCTGTCCTCTGACTGTAGGACACTAAAGTGGAATTCTCCTTTGCAGCAGGTAAGACTAGAGTTAGACATCAGGGAGAACTTTTTGGAGAGGGCTCTGAGGCCAGATGTGGAGAGACTGGGCTGGGTGTTGGGGAGAGGGAGTTCCGGGTTCTGGGGGGCCATATGTATCAAAAGCAGGGGAGGCCCGGCCAGGGAATATGCACTGTGGGGTCTCTGAGATCTGAGAGGGGCAGGAGAGAGACCTGGGGCTTGGCCGGGGAGGTGAGAGATTGCACTGACCCTCTGGCATCAGCCTGAAGGAAGGCAGACTGCTCAGCCCCTTAATCCCCTTGCTGCACACTCCCCCCCCCCTCCTGGCTCCGGAGCAGCCTGAGGAGGAGCCTGAGCAGCCTCTGCACATTCCTAGGGTTCAGGCTGCCCCTCCTCCTGCCCTGCCTCCCCCCGCCCCCCAGCTCGCCCTCTGGAGCAGGGGAATATTTAACTCTCCTCCAGCTCATTAGCAATCCCCTCACGCTCAGTGCGCCCCGTGGGCTCCCCTCGCTGTGGGTGCAGGGGGAATGTCACAACCCCGCTCCCATGCCCAGCGCCCACCTGCCTTCCCTGGACCGCACTGGGGGAAAGCAGGGTCTGCTGCCGACCCTCCCGCCCCCGTCGGCATCCTCCCCCCAGCCCGGCCCCCCGGCCCCCCTACTCGTCCCCAGCCTGCTCCCTGGCATTCTTCACGTGGCTATGCAAACGAGAGGGTGCCAGGCACTGCGCGGACAATGGCCACCCTGTGCACCCGCCCAGGGCGTGGGCCCCTGGTATGGCCTGCAGCTCCAGCCGCTGGGGGCGGGGTGGGCGCTGCTGGCTTGCAGGAAGGCCAGAGGCACGTGGGTCTGCGTACACCTGCCTCCTGGGGCAGCCCCGGGGGTCCCTGAACTCAAAGGGGGCCTAGGACAGTTGTAGACAGGCCAGCCCTGAGTTGGGATCCGGCTTTCACCCAGTTCCGAGGCCCCAAGATCAGGGGAGCAGGGGACCATGCCGGAGCCCAGAGCGAGCCAGACTCCTGGGGACGCAGTGAGCACCCTCTCTGGGTCCTCAAGGGTCCCCTTGGCGCTGGGCGGGCCCCTCACCCATCAGGAGCCAGGCCGCGAGGAGACCCACCCCGGCCGAGGACGCAGATCTGTGCCAGCGCCACGTCCATCCCACAGCCTCCTTTCTGGGGAGGACTGTGATGAAGGAGGGGGCTGACAGCCAAAGTGGGGGGAAGGAGCCACGTAAGGTCACACTGCTGCCCTGGGGGGCGAAGTCTGGGGTGCTGAGGCCTTAGAGACGCCGGGATGCCTGCGCGCCCCTCCGTCCAGGGCATCCCTCCCTCCCGCTGGGGCCCCAGGGCCACTTCGTGGTGGGAATGAGGCTCCTGTCCCCTCTGAAGCCCTTCTGGGTAACCCTCTTTTCAATTTGAGGTTTCCAGTCGGTTCTGTAAGAATATCCTCTCCTACCCTGAGGGCCTTCCCTCGCCCAGGTTCCAAACAAAGCCTTTTGGAATTCAGATCATGCTCCTGGGTGGGGGGGGGGGTGCCTTACACCCCCTGCGGGTCCCCTGCAGTCCAGTGACTCCCAGGCATGCAGGGAAAGCAGAACCGCTCAGGGTCCCAACCCCGCCCCATCAGGAGCTGGCTGGAAACCGCCATGGGGTGCCTGCCACCTCCCCCCAGTGCTTTCACGTGTGGGTACAGGAAGCTTTGGGTTCTGAAGCCTTACCTGTGCCACCGAAAAGCTGTGTGACACCAGGCAGGTCCCTTCGCCCCTCTGAGCTAAAACAGGGATAACGGCACTGGCCCTGTCCGGTTCAGGAGGAGGTTACGGGGATCAGATAATGGGTGGAGCTGCTTTTGGGAAATATCCTATGCTTGAAGAAACGGGGCTGCCTAATGAGAGCTCTTCCCAAAGACTCCCTCCCGGGCCCACCGTCCTGGCCCTCTCCTCCCGGCTGTGGGCGCCTTCCCCCGGCTGGACACCCACGGGCCCCTCCTGCCCAGCAGTGCCTGGCACAGAGCCAGGCTTAGCAGCTACGCGTGCCCCACGGGCGTGCCCCAAGGACGGACTGGTGGGGAGCCGGGGAGCCGATCGGTGCTTGTGCCTCCCTCCCAGCGAGATCCCGGAGCCGTTTCCCGGCCCCTTCCCACGGCCTCTTAGGGGGCTCTCTTAGGGGGCAGTCGTGCTGGTCTCACCCTGAACTCAGACTCTGACTCCCCCTCGGAACTGGAGGCTGGGGATGGAGAGGATGGAGTGTCCCCGCAGGGCCAGGCGCCCCGATCCGCCATCCCGCAACGCTCTGTGCCTGCTTCCACTCATAGCACTTGGTGCGTTGTCCTTCCCGGGGACTGCAAGCACCTCCAAGGCCCTACTACCAGCCTCATTTCTGGGCTCACCAGGGGTGGGGGGGTGGGGTCTCTGCACCATGTGTGGCTGATGGTGGTACCCCCTGCTCCCCAAACACCCCTGAGCACAGGCTGTCTCTGCACCCCTGCTGTGAGCCCTGCCAGCTGCCAGGGGCGACAGAGACCAACCTCTTCCAGGTCTCCCATCCCTGCGGAGGCTCCCACGGATGCTCTCCCTTCATCTCCAGGGGACTCCCCATGGCTGGCCTGTCCTGCCCCTGCACCCGAGCCCGGGCCGAGCAATCACGGCTGCATCTCAGCGCAGACCTGCCTTTGCTCCCTACTTCTGGGGCCCTAAGTACGTGCACTTATCCCAGTCCCGGGGACACTGTGTGGTTTGCATACATTGAACCCGTGAAGGTTGTCTGCCTTGATGTGGAAGCTTCTGGAGGACCAGAACCAGGCTGATGTAGTTTCCTGTCTGCGGAGTGTCTGCTACATGCTAAGCATTGTGCCAGGTGCCCTGGGAGCATCCCCTCGTTAGCGCTGTCGGCCATCCTGGGTGGCGAGGGCCATAATCTCGTGTCACTGGGGAGGACACGCACTGCAGCCTCACCCTCCCCAAGGGCAGACGTGAGCGTCACCCAGCTCAGCCTGGGGGCGAAGCTCATGCTCTTCCCATCGATGTGTCCCCTCTCCCTATGGCGAGTGGGTCGCCAACAGGACACGATCGCCAGTGCCTAACAGAGGAGGGACTGTCCCATGGGGTCCTGCCCTTGAGTGCACCCACAGCTGCCGTCTCCCAGCCTCAGAAGGCCTCCCACCCTTCGGGTCTCCCTCCAGCTCACCCTTCTGCCCATACGGAGGGCTGAGCTCCTGGGGCAGCTGTCTACACCCGCCAGCCCCTTCTCGCGTGAGGCCCTCCAGCCCACCTGTCGTCCACACCACCTCTCCAGAGCATCTCTTGCCGACGCTCTCACGGATCTCCGTGCCACCGGGTCCCAAGCGGCTCCTCCGCTGCCCTCTGCTCAGCCCAGCAGCGCTGACACCCTGCACCCCTTCTCCGTGAGCTGCCGCCATAGGCCTCTGGGACGCCGTCCTCTAGGGCCCCTGCTCGCAGCTGCCCCCCCATCCTCTGTTGGGCCCCCAGCCCCCAGCAGGCTCAGTCTTCCGCCTCTTCCTGTTCACGCTGACCCCAGTCTCCAGGCTTCAAACACCATCCAGGGGCCGGCGACAACTCCCAAAGTGATGGCTCCGCCTCCTCCCCTCCCTGAACTCCCGAGATCCATATCCACACCCCATATCCACACCCCGATCCATACCCCCAAGGGTCTGGTTGACACTTCTGCCTGGAAGCCTCTCAGGCTCCTGGGACTCTCGGCTCTCCTCACCTCATCTTGCCCCAAAGCCCCTTCCCCACACACACCCTTCACCGAGGCGGTCACGGCTCCGCACTTGCCCCACTGAGGCACAGCCCCCGTGCCCACAGCGACCGACGAGGCCACCGGGCCCCGAGCACACTGGCTGTCCTCCTCCGCCCACCCTGAGCCAGCCTCCTCGCCGCTCCCACCTCCCCAGGGCCCGACTTGCTTCCTTGTCGACCTCGCAGGGTCACACACACGCGTGAGCACAGGCACACACACGCATGCGTTTGTTACCTGCCTCTCCTACTAACACAGCAGCTCTGGGGCGGCAGGGACTTGTTTTGTTTGCAAGCATGTTATTCCCAGCACCAGGCGCTGAGCAACTGCGGGTTGACTGAGTGAAGGGGGACTCAGAGTGCAGGTTCCCAAACTCAGCACCCACAGCACCTCAAGCCCAGCAGGCAGGAGGGGAGACGCGCTGTGGCCCGAGGGGCAGGGTCCTCACTTGTGCTCCTTCTGTGTCCGAGGGGTGTGCGTTACCCTGGGGACCAGGGGCTCTGAGGCCAGGCAGCAGAGCAGGACGTGTGTGGCTGACACGGGCCAACATGCCAGCGCACTGCTGACCGGCCGGGGGCTGCCAGAGAGGGATTCATCGTAATCCCGTAATCCCCTTTACAAAGTGCTGTCACATCCGATGCTGAGTCCGGGCCACACGACCGCCCAGGAGGTGGGCAGGGTGAGGATCTGGGATCCCCATTCTACAGATGACAAGTCTGAGGTCCCCGGGGTTCAGGGTCGGGCCTGAGGCTGCAGGGGCAGCGGCTGAGCCTGCGACCTCGCCAGGCCTCTTGCCCAGAGCACCCTCTTCCAGCTGAGGGGGGCAGCAGGGGGCTGATTTCTACCCTCTGAACCAACTCCCAAGTAAAAAACAACAAATCATTTATTCTTTGGTTGTCTACACCGACACTTAAAT